GCCTTTTGGCGTCTTCTGGTCTAACACCGTTTGAGACGAGGCTCAAAAGAAAGCTGTCTCTGGTGTGGACCAATCAGTTTCAAGAACAATGCATATATTATCAGAGGATGTTTTTTGTTTGCATTCTGAACACAAGTATTGTGGTTAATGTAGACATGATTCCTTGTAAAAAGGTTTAAGTTTGGTGTTTTAACATCTTAACACCTCAATCTTGATTTGAAGCTTTCGTGACTGCAGGGATCCATACTCTTTGGTTATTTCGGTAAAGTCACGTAGGTAGAAAAATAATTAACCATTTTTCTACCTACATGACTTTACTGAAAGAACCAAAGAGTATCTTAACACCTGTTTTGTTGCCAGAAAAAGGGGATAACCTATTCTCAGGTAGAAACATGCATTTTTTGGTGAATAATAACTTTTTTAATCTCTTAACAATCCAATTTTTTAATAGTTATTTTTCTAAAGCCTGTCTTTCTATGGCATATCTAATAGAATATTGAAACATACTGTGTGTATATAAATAGCTAAATGCCGAGGTACAAGAAAAGATAATTGAATAATGCACAACGTGATTGCTTTATTGCTGGCGTATTTGTGTTCAACAAGGATTGTGCAATAAAATTTGGCACCTTTAAGCCACATTTGAAATGTTTAATAGAGTGTCTGTCTGCCTGTTCATATGAACAATGCGTTAGCAACAATCTTCTGTTGACAGACCCAAGTTTCTGGTTTTAATTAACCAGGTGAGAACCCAAGAGACTATGATAGTCTCATTTGCAAGAGTGACCTGGGGCATTTATCCGCCGCAAGAGGGTAGGGTGTGGGGCGGGGATGCTTTGCTACATAGCCATTGCAATTGGTAATTTGCAGGTAATTCTAGAATTTGGCAAACTTGGACCATGACGCCGGCACACGGTGGCCTACTCTTGCGAATGACGTCAGAGGATCTTCAAACTCCACTGTGAGGCAAACGGTGCATACTATCGTGGCCATTACACTCACAGTGATAATTAGGGCAGCCACTGAATTCGAACAGTGAACCCCGACAACACGTGGCAAACACGCTACTGCTGGGTCATAAACTGGCCGCGTGAAACGATCTTCCTTCCTATATTAGGAAGTAACTGGAGATATGCACTTTAAAATCGAGATTGAAAATGTATTTCTTAAGAACTGCTTTTTGTATTTAGTTTGTTGTCCTTCCCTGGCACTTTAGATTAGCACGGTTGGCTGTGTACAGTGCAAAATAAGTTCATACATATGTAATATCTCAATTACGGCGGGAGACGAGTTGACGGGGCAGCACTTATTTATTAACACTCCTGTAACAGTAACAGATACAGCCGAGATACAGCCTACGCTACGCGTGCCTAACTCGGCCACGCTCTCCGGCCCTTCGGCTACACTCACGTAACAGTAACGGATACAGCCGAGATACAGCCTACGCTACGCGTGCCTAACTCGGCCACGCTCTCAGGCCCTCCGGCTACACTCTCCCCACAGGGAGCTATCGGGCCCGCCTTGCCAGGCACGGACCCCGACCTCTGGGTTACACAACCCGGCCCTTACAAGGACATCGGGCTGTGAATCCCAAGGTCTCGCCTCTGAGCCGCACAGAGCCCCGGCCCTTACAAGGGCAGCGGGACTAGGGGTCTCAGGGCCTATCTCTTCCTCCGTCTTCTGTCTTCACTGGTAGACTTCTCCCCGAGTGCTGCTGCGCATCGCCTTACATAGCCCTCCGCTCCAGGGGGCGGGGCCTATGCGGACCGCGATGTGGACACCTGCCTGCGGACCGCGATGTAGCTACCCACCACGCGCTGTCACACGATCCCCCCCTGCCAGCACGTACCGCCTCTACACATACATAGCGGTGCTCGACTCGAACCTGTGAAGGATGAGGAAACTCGTCTCAACCTAATATCGGCGCAGGTCGGAGAAAAACAAAAGTGTCAACGATTACATGAACACGTGCACGGTGCTTAAGTGTGAGTTGCAAACTTCTCACAAATTTAAGCATGATGTAAAGCCACCATATTCCTGAACAACTGGATTCTAGTCATCGTGTCTTAAGGCACCATCAATTGCTGTACCGATGAGTCGTAATAATAATGACAAAACCAATCTGCAATTGCCTCTGTTTCACCGCTACCTGTAGATTAGTCAGACGGTGACTTAAGGCAAGATGTCTACAGCTGAAATTATTCGGGAACTGGTGTTTGTTTCCATTGTGTTCAGGTCTGATAGGGATTTTGTACACACGGTGCAGCGTTGTTGTGCGGTGTTGTTGTTGCAATCAGGAGGATTGCGAGCACAGATCCCGACCAGGGTCAGGAAAATAAATCTACATTTTGGAAGTTTGGCAATGGTTGCCCTGTGGAGAGATTGTCTTCTGCCGTAAGATTGTGAAAAGTCCACCACTGGCTCTAACAGAGACGAGCGCTGCTAGCCCTAGTGCTCGATTGGGGCACTTTGATGCGACTAAATTCAACATTAAATTAAATTGTAATACCGGAGCTTTCCAGGTGTAATGCGAGCGTGAGTGAGGTTTAGCCGCTCAGCTCTGGGCCAATAAGACGCCCAGAGTATTGGGGGCTGGGCCCAGTAATGTGGGCGTATGGGAAGGTCCGCCGCCCACCTCCGGTCCAATCGGATGCCCGGAAGATCAGGGTCGGAGCCGGAGGGGCGCGAAGCGAAGGGTGTAATCGGGAAGGTTCGGAAAGGGCGTGGTGGAAGGTGGGGGACAGGATGACGTGTGAGGGGAATATAAGGGGATCGGAAGAGACTCGTGGTCAGTTGGTGTAGTCACAGAGTGGGACCACGTTGGGTTGTGGGGCGTCTCCTGCGCCATCAGCCACGTGGGCTGGAGACGACTCCAAGCACACCGTTAGCCAACGGAGTGCGGGAGCCGGAGGAAGTGCGACTGACGGGAAGGGCGCCGCAGGGCGCGCAAGAGAGACAGCCGGTCCACTGTCGGGATCGGCGGAGTGTGAGCGGTATAACAAGAATAAACAAGAGACTGAGACCAAGCTGTGTGTCGTCAACATCTTTTATTACACAGGTGGACAGTTAGTGTACATTCTTAGGTGGTTGTAGTGGTGAGAGATGATGACAGTGGGCTCTAGGCGACCCAGTAGGCTGCGATTTTGAATGGAGTTTGTACATCTCGATTGAAAACCCTGCTGCTCAAAAACACCTTCACTGTATACTCGGTCGTAACATCGAGTGATGAGATCATCAGCCCCGGGGTCCCGATGCACAGTTACATTGGTAAACCGCGACTCATCATTGCGCACATTGATCACTCATAATAGTCACCCCTGCGCTTTATAAGTTCGTCTCGAAAGCATGGTTATAGTAGCATGGATTAAGAGGCCCCACTTAAGGAATACATTCCATATTAATTCCATATTAAGCAATTACAGTTCATGTTATTAAATCCCATATGAAAATTCTTAATCGATTCGTGTTCGAGTGTGTCTAAAGCTCCCCCCGCCCCACCCCCCGCGATGTACTCATAATAATTGTACATTTCCGTGTACAGCCCTTTGTCGATCCACTGCTGGATGAGGGGCTTATGCCACTCTGTCTTAACTCGTGGGGCTATTTAACCATGCTTCACCACGATGAGCAGTGTGGATTTATGAAGGTCCGGAGTGGGGGCTGGGGGGGTGGAGATGGTTTTTTTTTCTCCACTGCCCTCTACTGATCAAAGCGCCGACCTCACCCCGTTATGTTTGGTGTTCGCCATGCCAGGCTCAAACCTGCTTAGCTTCCGAGATCTGACGTATGAATGTATGTTGAACTTATTTTCACACCGTACGTAACCAACCATGTATTTTGTCCTCGGCGGCAATTGATGTTGTCCTAGGCGATACCAATTCGATCAATATTATTCTATCATTCCCAGAAAAAAAGCTTTACTGAGGCCCAAGACGACTCGTCTGTAGAGCATCGGGATTGTTTGCACGTGTTCTTCTTTCGTGTGGGAAGAACCCCGAATGTCGGGAGAACCCCCCCCCCCCCCTCCACACACGAGGGGATAACGCACCACACTTTGCAACGAGACATTGCTAACCTAATTACTGTGCTACCTGATATTAGCAGCAACGCCCTTTGACCCACAGATGATGACTCCATCTCCTTATGAGCCACCCACCCCACCTTCCGAGTCGTTGAATTACAGGGGCGCGTCGCTGAACGGCACAACACATTGCAAACCAGTAAACTTCAGTGAAAGTAATGGCAGTAAACAATAACAGTACAATGAGTGCAATGTACTCCTGTTTACAAAGCGACCATGTACAAACACAATCCATGCGTTAATACGGGATGTAAACCTCACCTGCTGTCCGGCCAAGACCGGCAGCAGTATAAAAGCATTGTCGACCCGTGTAGCAGCTCAAGTGGGTATTGCTTGCTTTGCTTCGCTCTCTTTCCCCACATTTCCCTCTCTGCCTCTGTTGCCCGCTCGTTTTCCCCAAATGTAACTCACGATGAAGACACGCATCTTGGGGCCCGTAATCTCGACTCGGAAGCTATGAATCGTCCTCTCTGGCCCTTTATATGTGGCAATATGTTACAGTTCAAACAGACCCAACGGATGACGGATGTATAAGATGTATGACAGTCATAATAATAACAACTCCCAATTAGCGCGCAACTGGCAGCTGTTCAAATAACATAATTAAGCAGCGACTGGGTGTATCTTTTTTTTACCAACTCCGTTGCCGTCACCACCACCACCTCGCTGTGCAGAGCACGAACCCCCTCTCAAGCGCGATTCCATCCCGGCAGCAATGGGCGGGCTATTTAAGGCGCTGGCTCGCTGCAAGTTTGGCACAAACCCCGCAAGCGCGCGCGTGTTATCATCGTGTCCCGTATTTTGTCCATTTGCCCCTGACGAGGGCCAAGAGGAGCAGGGAGAGGCGTGCGGAACGCGCGAGCTGTGATTTGGGAACCAGGCCTGCGTGGCAGGGGGTGGGGAGTAGGAGGAGGTGGTGGTGGGTTCATTGGGTTCAGCTGGAAGATTTTGATTCGAGATTTCAGTCGAGCTGTCTCCGGGGGTCGTGGCGAGCGACGCGCGCAACTTTACCGGTAAGTTTGCGCGCGTGTGTGTGTTCGTACGGAGAGCGGTAGCTCCGAACCCAGCTACCCCAGTTCGATTCTCGCTCACGACCAACACCAGTGATGATTATCTGAACCGGTTCTGGGCCTCCCCTAGGTCGATTCAGCCTCAAATGAGTACCTGATGTGGTGTGTAAACATCGCCACTGGGGAGACAAAGGCGGCGAGGCGTGGCGCTGACCACCCACCACCTCGTGTATCGTGCCGGCCTTCATAGGTGCTCGATAACAGCAGTTGCCCAAAAAGTTTGTTAAGGCTACACGGGGGGGGGGGGGGGGGGTTATCTTGTGTGTTCGTGTTAATTCAGACGGGCTCGAGTTGTCGTGGTGCACGCTGCGTACGTGCATACACGAATAATGGACCGAAGCCGTCATTAATAACAATTGGTACTGTGATGATTTCGGAAGGTGATTATGGTATGCGCGACAGTGGTACGATTTGTGTTCGTGCAATCGCGTTGTTTCTTAAGCGAGGGTGGTTGAAGATGTGATTCACGCATTGCGCAGTGATGACTTCTGCAAACGTCTTGGTCAATGGTAATGCGTTGAGCGTCATCATCACGGTGCCAATTTCGAGAAGATTGCACCGATAGGCCAACGGTGGCAACTGGCAATCAAGTGGTCAGGCGATCTTTTGCATCATCACCACTGCTTGTTTACAACCGCTTGAATTGGCCGGTCAAACGGCGATGTCATTAGGGGAAGGAGTGTGCCGGCTGGGTGCGCGCGCTTTACGCAGACATCATGTGTGGCATACCCCATCAAGATCCCTCGCAGCGCTCGCATTACATTAGCACCGGTAATGCTCCGAATCGTAAAAGAAAACACCTTACATCCATTGCTTGCGAGCAGTGTTCTAACGGCGCGGGCTATTCAGATGCCAAACAAATTGCGACTTGATCACGCTGGGGGCGGGGGGGGGAATTGCTCGCCAGGGTATAATACTCGCGTTAACGAGATGATAAATTGGGTTTAAAACACACGCACGCATGTCTGCCCTTAATTGATATGCGTTTATTTTCTTGTACCTGTTTAACGCAAGCGGTTGTTGTTGTTGTTGTTGTCGTCGTTGTAGTTCGCTGTGCCAGGAGGTTATCGTGAATCGCGACAGTCGCAGCCGTTCAGTTTGTTATATTCAGTTTCGCTGCGGTCAGTGATGTGATGGGATTTTAGAGGCTTAAGGAGTCAGCCCGTCCGTACATGGGTGAGTGTGGAGGTACCTTTAGCGCTCCAACTCGCTATCGTTAGGGGTCAACGCAGTGGGGAGCGGTAGTGTAGTGACGAATATCTGAACCGGTCCTGGGCCTCCCGTAGGTCGACTCAGCCTCAAATGAGTACCTAATACGGTGTGTAAACATTGCCATAGGTGAGACAAAATCGGCCGGGCGTGGTGCTGGCCACCCACCCCTTATCGTATGCCGTACGGGCGTTCATCGGCGCTACTCGCGAACAGCACTTGCCCCAACAGTCGGTTAAGCCTATACGGGGGATCTTTGTCTCTGGAGGTGCCTTTAGAGCCCTCGTCGCTATCGTTAGGAGTCGGCGCAGTGCACTGACACGAACGCGGCATGTAATGCGATGCGGAGGTCGCCTAGACTCCATGCACTTTGACGATCGTTCGTTTGGTGGATGTCTATGAAAGTCACGTATGGCATACATCTCCATTACACCGCATTAAACAGATGAACGTGGACGTTGTCGGTTAGCATAAAAAAAATACCTCGTAGAAAGCAGGCGTAAAGGTTAACTCATTGTGAAATGGGAGGTGGTCGGTGACGCATTGGCTAACACACTGCATGCGCTAAAAAAAACGGGTATACTGAAAAATATGAACTATACATTTTTCTATTTTACCAGGTAAGGCCCACTGAGCTATATAGCTCGTTTTTTTCAGAAGCGACATGGATATCACAAATGAAATACTTATTTCCCTCATTAAAATGGCAAATCAATTTATAACATTTTTACATGCGTTTATCTGGATTTTGTTGTTGTTAATCTGTCTCTCACTGTTCAAATGAACCTACCATTAAAATTATAGACTGATCATTTCTTTGTCAGTGGGCAAACGTACAAAATCAGCAGGGGATCAAATACTTGTTTCCCTCACTGTATATATGTAAAATGATTGCCACAAAAGAACCACAATACCTTGCTGATCTCGTCAAGGAGCAAAAACCATCGCGTGAACTCCAGTCATCGCAGCAGCGGATTTTGGCTAATCATTGAACAAAGACGGTCACCGCTTCTTTGGCCGTCTGGAAAGCTCTTCCTTACAATATTAGGAAGCCACTGGAGCTATATGCACTTTTAAATCTAGATTGAAAACTAATTCTTTAGATCTGATTTTTATGTTAAGTATGTTGTCCTTCCCCCGCACCTCCAATCAGCACGGTTGGCTACGTAGTTAGTTATAATTGAAACGTGAATCCTGCCGGCTTACTTTGATTGAGCTTGTTAAACATTCGCGTAATCTCTTCAAGAGATGCATACTACTGAGAGATGGACCGATTAGCAGAAACTCTCCTTGCAGTCCAATACATTTGGGATTGAATGTTTTCTAAGGAAATAGAAATAAGCCCTTTTAGGTGTGCAGTGGGAAAAAATGTTAAGATGAGTCGGCGATGCTCGGCACGCGCCGGGTAATGCCTCCACGCCAATCCGCTGCGGCTTCCGCGGCTGCCTGCTGGAGAGTCCTGCTGGGCGCTTGACTAATTCATCAGAAATTGTGAACCCCAATTGGGATTGATAGGCTCAACCCGTGATTCATTGGAGGAGGAGGTGGGGGTTCGAGTGGTATATTAAATGAGGAAAACTTGATATTACAAGTCCACTGTGGTTTTCCCCTGGACGGACATGCCTCACTCTCCCCTCCATAGGAATGTGAAATTACACCTCTGGCTCAGGGGCTGCGCGCCAAGTGAGATGAGCAGGGGTTTTTTTTTTTAACGGTACAAAGACAACGAGGCCGTCCATAAATTACATTACGCGATTTTGGACGATTTTTGACCCCCCCCCTCGTCACACGGCGTCACAAAAAGTCAGACTCCCCCTCAAATATGACGTCACACAGCTCTGCCCCCCCCCCCCCCCCAAAAATAAAACATGCTTCAAATCGCTTTAAACTATTGTCATTACAGTGCGTATTTAATGTGGCGCTGCACTCTGACGTAGGAAAAAACATTTATTAAAAAGACTATTTAATTAAGTATAACGTGTAGTCTATATTTATTTAAAGTTGCGCATTTTGATGTGACGTCACATTTCTCAACCCCCCCCCCCTCGTCACACATCGTCACAAATGTCTGACCCTCCCTCCCCCTAGGTGCGTGACGTCATTTATGGACGGCCCCAAATATCACCCGTATATTTTAAAGATGGTTAGGGAGAGTCATGTTAGCGAGCACCTATTGAAGCTGGCCAACACCACACCCGTACGCCTTTGTTTCAATAGTACCAATGTTTACACACCTCATCAGGTAGCCATGTAAGGCTGAATCGATCTGGAAAAGGATCATGATCGGTTTAGATATCACTCGCCACTGATGGTAGCTGTGGCCTGCCGTCGAACTCAGATAGTCGGGTACATATAGTGCAGTGCGCTAATTACTGCACCACCGCTCCCCCAAACATATCAGAATATGTATTTATACTGGAGGAATCTGATGAGCTATAAAGCTCCGGTTCACAAATGTCCAGTAAATATACGACGAGCTGCTCGTTGTATGCTACGAGCTGCCTCGCGTTTGCCTTTCAGGACTTGAAGCGCGCCTCCTCCGCTGACCATGGACGGGAACCGTCACTCCGACGACCTCAGTCCCAACATGTCCACGTGGCCGATGAACGGGAGCGACCCATGGCCGGACCACAACGTGAGCGACCAGCCCCAGCCCTTCTCCTTCTTCAGCATCCTGACGTTCACGCTGCTCGCCATTCTCATCCTCGCCACGTTCGCCTGGAACGTCCTGGTCATCGTCACCATCCTGCGGGTAAAGACCTTCCACTGCGTGCCGCACAACCTGGTGGCCTCCATGGCCGTGTCTGACGTCCTGGTCGCGGCGCTCGTCATGCCGCTGAGCCTGGTCAGTGAGCTGCACAGGCGGCGCTGGAGGCTGGGGCCTGTCATGTGCGACGTGTGGATCTCCTGCGATGTCCTCTGCTGCACGGCCAGCATCTGGAACGTGACCGCCGTCGCGCTCGACCGCTTCTGGTCCATCACCAGGCACCTGGAGTACACGATAAGGGTCCGCAAGTGTATCTCCAACCTCATGATCGCCCTCACGTGGCTGCTGTCTGCCACCATCTCGCTGTCGCCCCTCTTCGGCTGGGGCGAGGGATACTATTCGGACAAGTCGCAGCACTGCCACTTCAGCCAGGGGCCGTTGTACACTGTCTTCTCCACGGTGGGCGCCTTCTACCTGCCCCTGTGCGTGGTGCTCTTTGTCTACTGGAAGATCTACAAGGCGACCAAGTTCTGCTTCGGCAGCCACAAGGCGAACTCAGTGATGCCCATATCCGACGAGATTGAGGTACGACGTTTACTTCACCGTGCTGGCGCTGTGCTTAGCCCTTCACGAAGGTCCGTCAGTGTCACAAACCACACGCGATCGCACAGTTCCATGCCCTGCACATAGCAGTTCCATGCCCTGCACATAGCAGTCCCATGCCCTGCACATAGCAGTCCCATGCCCTGCACATTGCAGTCCCATGCCCTGCACATAGCAGTCCCATGCCCTGCACATAGCAGTCCCATGCCCTGCACATAGCAGTCCCATGCCCTGCACATAGCAGTCCCATGCCCTGCACATAGCAGTCCCATGCCCTGCACATAGCAGTCCCATGCCCTGCACATAGCAGTCCCATGCCCTGCACATTGCAGTCCCATGCCCTGCACATAGCAGTCCCATGCCCTGCACATAGCAGTCCCATGCCCTGCACATAGCAGTCCCATGCCCTCACATTGCAGTCCCATGCCCTGCACATTGCAGTCCCATGCCCTGCACATAGCAGTCCCATGCCCTGCACATAGCAGTCCCATGCCCTGCACATAGCAGTCCCATGCCCTGCACATAGCAGTCCCATGCCCTGCACATTGCAGTCCCATGCCCTGCACATAGCAGTCCCATGCCCTGCACATAGCAGTCCCATGCCCTGCACATAGCAGTCCCATGCCCTGCACATAGCAGTCCCATGCCCTGCACATAGCAGTCCCATGCCCTGCACATAGCAGTCCCATGCCCTGCACATTGCAGTCCCATGCCCTGCACATAGCAGTCCCATGCCCTGCACATAGCAGTCCCATGCCCTGCACATAGCAGTCCCATGCCCTGCACATAGCAGTCCCATGCCCTGCACATAGCAGTCCCATGCCCTGCACATAGCAGTCCCATGCCCTGCACATTGCAGTCCCATGCCCTGCACATAGCAGTCCCATGCCCTGCACATTGCAGTCCCATGCCCTGCACATTGCAGTCCCATGCCCTGCACATAGCAGTCCCATGCCCTGCACATTGCAGTCCCATGCCCTGCACATAGCAGTCCCATGCCCTGCACATAGCAGTCCCATGCCCTCACTTAATCCCTTTCCCTTCACATAGTTCAATGCCCTCACGTAGTCCCGTGTCTTTCAAGGTAATCGTTTTACATCAACGTTAAACACTTTATGGAACATTTTTCCAGTATCAAAAGGATGAATTGGTTTTACCATTTATGGAAATAGAACAGGTGTTAAGATGTTTAAACGCCAAATAGATAACTTTTGCAAGGCATCAAGTCTGTGTTAACCACACGTACCTGTGGAAAAACATGCCAATAAAAGGTATCGATTTGGTGTTTGAACATCTTAGCACCTGTTTTATGCCAGAAAGGGTAAAACATATTCTTATTTTTTAATACTTATAAATATTTTGCTTGCAGTATAATTATCGTGTGAAAAAATAACTCGCGTGAGAAGAATGAAAAAACAGTGATGACGAGTAATTGTTATGGGACACTGTAATTACTCCACCGCTACTTCATTCGAGGTATGTGTAGTTGTCAACACAGTTGAAGGAAAGCCTCACAGTCCCAAGACCCGTATTCCAGGCAGCGGTCCTGTTGAGTTTTCTCAGTGGTGTGGGGGGGGTTACGGCTATGTGTGTGATCCCAATTGAGCAATGTTCATGTATTGGGGTGTTTGGCAAATACCAGTTGCATTGTATGGTTTATATACTTTTTAGCTATGGGAGAAAACCTGAGAATCCAGAGGAAGCCAATGCAGAACAGGAGGAGAACATACACACAGAATGGCGCCCGAGTCGAGAATGGAACACAATCCTTTCTTGCTGCGAGGCACACGTGTTACGACTGTGCTATTATTTGTCAAGAGCTATTCCATTTGCTGCATCGTGGTCTTCATCAACACACTGTCAAGTGGACAGCTTCATAACATTGGCTGGTTCGCCCAGCACCATCGTTCTCGTGATTTGTTACCTTGTGCTTTCTGTTTGTATGAACCACTCAAAAGTCCAGCCTTGTGTGACAATTACACTTTAAACGAGTAATGATGCAGTGAAAAAAAAGTGTCCAGAATAAATTGAACACCTCCTCTTCATTATCAGGCTTTGCTGCTGGCATATATATTTTTTGCACGAGCGATTATTGGTTGAGCTGCAGCACTGGTTCAGTTCAGGTGCCTCGCTGCTTTTCACGATTGCTTACACTGGTCTACAATTTTTTAGACGTCGTCTGCTTCAGAGATGAAATGTTCTATTTATTATGGATTTGTACGTGCTGAATTCAAATATGACAATTAAAACAACTGATTGGCTACCGTTCCCAAGATATTTAACAAACAAATTACGTATGTATATTGTGTAGATAGTAGAGTTTTACTCATGTCACCTGTCCTGTTCATGTAAAACTTAAAAAAATAGCAAGAGGGTTATATAAATAAAATGTATTATGAAACAAAAGGCAAAACATTATGCTGTATATATAAGTACATAGTTTAGTACTTTTTCAGTGTCTACTCAGCGCTTCTTGGCTTGTCTCTTGTATTCATTAAATGGAGTTTCTCTTGTTACTGTCTAGCAATAGTCTGCAAGCATTGATGGACTCCATTTGTCCTGATAGCGTTTCTCCATTGTTGCAATGTCCTGGTTAAATCGCTCGCCATGCTCGTCGCTCACTGCTCTGCAGTTCGGTGGGAAAACATCGAGATGAGAGTGCAAAAAAATATCTTTAGTGACATGTTGCAACCAAGGCTTTTGTATGCCTTGAGGAGGGTTTACACCAACTCCCTGTAGTTGTCTGCCTTGTTTCCGAGAAAATTTGTTGCCACTAACTGGAAGGCTTTCCTTGCCACGCAGTGCACTGTCAAATGCATCATCTTGAAGAAGTTCACGAATCTGAGGACCAACAAAGACACCATCCGTTATATTAGCTTCACTTAACCTTGGAAATTTTTCACGGAGGTACTTGAAAGCTGCTTGTGTTTTGTCCATGGCTTTGACAAAGTTCTTCATCAGACCCAGCTTAATGTGTAAGGGTGGTAACAAAATCTTCCTTGATTCAACAAGTGGTAGATGCTGAACACTTTTCCTCCCAGGCTCAACTGACTGTCGGAGTAGCCAATCTTTCTTGATGTAGGGGGAATCTCTCGCACGACTATCCCATTCACAGAGAAAACAGCATTACTTTGTGTATCCAGTCTGCAGACCAAGCGAAAGAGCAACAACCTTCAAATCGCCACAAAAGAACCACTGATGTTGATCACAGTTTATGCACCTCAAATTTGTTTAATTTTGTCATAGGTTTCCTTCATATGTGTAGTGACATAGAATGGGTCACTAGGGCGCATAGCGCTGGTTACTGGCAGAGAAGGGGATCTGTCGGTGTCGCAGCCCGGTCTGCCGGCAGGGCATGTGATAGGCCGGGGAAAGCGATGTAGGGCAAAGGTGATGGAGGAGACACGTGAGGTGAAGCCGGGAACCTTCTGGTCGGTTCCAGAAGGGGGCGTGGCCGAGGGCAGAACCAGGCCACGCTGGGGGGGGGGGGCGGGAGTAAAAGGGAGGCCCCGACTCAGGGTCGGGGCTGTCGTCCGGAATGGAACCCGTCGTGCTACCAAGTCTTCGTCCCCGTCTTTGTCCTTGTCTTCACCTCACCTCCTCAGCGTTGTTGGTCAGGCAGCGTGCTAGCTGTCCTGACCATAGTATAGTTATCCCCTGTACCTGTGATGGCTAGAATAAACGAGAGTGCCTCCTACTATTAGTGTCTCTGAAGTGATTCACTACATATGGACTGCATGACCAACTGGAATTGATGGCAAAACATTGCTATTATGCAGCAAAACAGCTTTAAGACTCATCTTCGATGAATCAATGAACAGTCTCCACTCATCTGGATCATAAACGATGTTGAGGGATGCCATCACACCATCGATGTAGTTGCAAGCTACAAGGTCACCTTCCATGAAGAAGAATAGGACAAGATCCTTTTGACGGTCACGGAACATGGAAACCCTAACATCACCTACCAGGAGATTCCACTGCTGCAGTCTGAAGCCCAACAGCCCTGCCTTACTCTTGAGTAGTTCCAAATCCCTGGCAAGGTCTTTCAGTTAACCTTGTGTTATGAGGTGTGGTTCAGAGGAGGAGGATGGGAGAAAATCTGGGTCATGTAACCTTGATGGTTCAGGACCAGAAGTTTCATCCTCTTCCTCGTCTGACTCAAGTGGAATGATCCTGGTGCATCAGGAACCGACAGTTCTTCTCCGTGGGGTACTGGGCGTATAGCTGATGGAATGTTTGGATAATGCACAGGTAACTTTTTCTTCTTTGACACACCTTTCCCAATTGGAGGCACCATGCAGAAGTAACAATTGCTGATATGATATGTTGGCTCTCTCCAAATCATCGGCACTGCAAAAGGCATATATTTCCTTTTCCTGTTCAACCACTGGCGAAGAATTGCTGCACAAGTGTTGCAGCATATGTGTGGGGCCCACATCTTGTCCTCATCTCCAATTTTGCAGCCAAAATAAAGGTGATAGGCTTTCTTAACCATAGTGGGTATACTGCGCTTTTGTGATGCAAAAGTCACTTCACTACAAATATAGCAAAAGTTATCTGCTTTGTTCACACAAGTACAAGGCATCTCTGCTCACTTTGGCTAAACAGAAATGTGTCCCTTTGCAAAATCAAACACTGACAAATAAGAGAGCACGACACTATTATTTATAGAGCTGATATAGGGCAATTTGTTCAGCAGAGGGATGTAAGCCTAGTTATGATTACATCATCCATGACTTCTAGGAATCACATGATGCAATTCATATCATGTATTATGCAATACCAGGTTCAGATTGCATGATTCATTGTTTTGCTCAAAAAGCAAGTACTGTCCAAACCAAGTCATAGCTTTATTCATAGATCCAGTCAAAGATGTATTTTAGTTATTTCTGGTTTAAATTGAGATCCCTTCCCTTTATAACTATATATTGACCCAGTAGCATATCTTGAAAACTAGAGCCAATCAACAATTTTAAGCATCATTTTCATTCTCAGTGACCCAGAATTAGTAAAGTTAGACTACATTTTAGAAGCATTTTGGCTGTAGACCAGTGTTATAGGCGTACTTCGTGTACCTTTCATTGAACCTGAAACATGCAGACAGACCGCAACACGTAAGTAGACATACATACACACGCACAAACGAGGCATAGTGGACGGATATGAGAGTGTTGTTGGCGCCACGGTGGCGAGATGTTAACTACCTCGCCTGGTATACAGGAGGTGGTGGGTTCGATCCCGATCCTGTCGCCTGTATATTGCAGTTTGTATGTTCTCCCCGTGGTCACGTGGATATTTCAGAATATTGCAGAATAATTTCTCCTGGTTCTCCGGTTTTTCTCTCCATATTTAGAAACATGTGTTTAAAGTATTTGGCTGCTATATTTTTCCACGTGATAAGCCACTTCGTTGAGCTATGATTTGTGGCCAGGTCGCTTCTGAAAAAGAGCAATATAGCTCAGTGGGCCTTGTCTGATAAAATTAAAATAGTTTTGTTTTTAGAATCCACGCCACCACGAAAATAATATGCTAACTCCAAATATTGAACGCACGAATTTCCTGAATACCAGGCGAGGGAGTTAACATCTCATCACCGCTAACTAAATTTGCTTGATTGCTTGACATTGAAGACCTTGCCATTTTTACAATTTTCGAAACTGATTTAATCACACTTTTTGTTGATGAAATGCTGCATTTGTGGCGATGGTGGGAGCTGGGGTGATGTGTTTGCTGTTCTTTTCTCGATGTTTCAGACAAATGAGCTCATCTCCAAAGTGATGTGCTTTGGACGTTTATTCGTGTGAATCTGGCTCCAGAAGTGAACAGGACATAATGTACTTGGCAAACAGATAGGAGGGCCTCACATTTGGAGCCAAGCATTCCCTAAAATGTGCCTTTCCCTTAAACCTATCCCTAACCATACCCCCCCCCCCCCACGCTGCTTAACCTGATTCTTATTTTCACGCTCACTGTTTTCAGCACCCACTTCGCATTAAATTCCCGGCCACGCACCAACGTCATTTCCAATTGGTCCCCCAACTCGGTGCGTGACTGCCCTCGATTAACGCAGCCCATGATGAATGCCTGGTGCGGGCACAATCAATACCATCGCCGGGAAGGCGGGTGTGTGCTCTCGCTAAACGAGGACGACATGGGCTGGAGAAGAGATGGACTGATGTGGTACTGGAGGATGTGGAGCTGAGTGAACTTGCCAATGACTGGTACCAACGGTGTCAAGATCGGCCTCCGTGGAGGAGGCTTGTAAAGGATGCTACTGGGCAGTTAGAGGCAGTCGTCCTCAAACAACAGTTGAGGGTAGAGGAGCGATGCGCACAACAATGAGCGGAGCGCCGAGTGGCTAAAATCCAGCAAGTTGGAACAGTAGGGGGTACAGCTGGTGCATATACCAGTCATCTCAGTCAGCCAGCCCATGGTACCTGGGTCTGTCCCGTGACCTCCTGTCAGCGACACTTCACGTGGCCTCAAAGTGCACCTGGCCTGGCACAGGCGCCGTGGTGACGTGACAGTCACTTAGTGGCGAATGGCGGATATTGGTATTGGTGTGCCCGCTAACTGCACTTGTCCCAACAGTATTTTAAAGGCTATAGGAAGATCTTTGTCTTTGTTTTGTGCTTGCCTTTTCCGTGCCTGCAAGGCCAATGACCCATCGCGCAAGCCGCAGACGGTGTTCACCGTGCACCACGCCACCGTCACGTTCCAGCTAGGCGAGGGGGACACGTGGCGCGAGCAGAAGGAGAAGCGTGTGGCGCTCATGGTGGGCATCCTCATCGGCGTGTTTGTGTTCTGCTGGATACCCTTCTTCATCAAGGAGCTCATCATCCCGCTGTGCTCCTGCGACGTGCCGCCCGTGTGGAAGAGCATCTTCCTCTGGCTCGGCTACTCAAACTCATTCTTCAACCCGCTCATCTACACTGCCTTCAATAAAAACTACAAAAACGCTTTCCGGAATATATTTTCATGAAGCAGTAGGGATTTTTGCAGTGTTTGTTGTTATGCTTTGTTTGTTTTTGTGTCTGGCTGTCGTGGCTGTAGATAAAAGTCTGAGACTCGGTACGCGCACTGAATAGTGATAGTAATGATAATATCACAAGATAAAAAATAGCACAGCGTTTATCAGTAGCGATGATTATTCATTGTATTGCAGGAATTAATAACGGCGTGAGTGGGGCCCATCTCTGTCAGTGGCCCTGAGCCTAGTGGTGATAATTCCACATCCCAATGATTGGGTCAGTATCTCGATTAGAGGACCGCTGTTGACTTCCCACAAAGTAAAGTGGTACTCATGTTATGATCGTCATGGTGATGATAGATTGAGTCGACTCCCAGAAGCTGGCCGCTGGTGGCGATGCACGCATGTAGCCTGAGCGTGACGTCACAGGCTCCGCGTGTTCCCCACCCCCCTCCCCCCAAGTCGGCACGGAGCTCCCACCCCTACGGCTGCTGCGCTGCCCATATCATATCAGGTGAGCTGAGTTAAGTACAGAGGTGGTCTTACCAATGAATGGCTGCAACGTCTCAGACAGATATTGGGCCAGTTTCTAGGTGGGTGAGCCAATGGTGGAGACGATGGGACGAAGGGGTGCACCTTCTTCATGGATTTTTGGTAAGCCATATAATCTGGGTGGTCTAGCAGCAGAAGGTTTTAAGGAAAACCGTTTGGTCTGTTCAATTAATGAAGCTGAATCAGTGATGATACTGTTCGTTTTTGTAACGAGGCTGTTTGTGGGATCTCTTTTAATTTTCACTCAGCTCACCTGGTATCGTCAATTAAAGACATCTCAATGTCCCCAGGTGATTTGCTCGTTAGTTTTGATGTAGTTTCTTTGTTCAACAAAGTTCCTGTGCCCGATACCATTGCAATCATTGAAGATTTAGTCCAACAAGGATTGAATGTTGATGTACCGGCCCTGGTGAGACACTGCCTCACCAATATATACTTCACCTGGAATGGAACAATATACAAACAAACTGAAGGCACCCCAATGGGTTTTTCATTATCTCCAGTTGTAGCCAATATTTTAATGGAAAAAATTGAAACGGACGCCTGTCTTTGTGGAAGAGGTACGTGGATGACACGTTTGTCAACTGGCCACATGGCCGACCGGCTCTGACCAATTCCTTAACCACATCAATTCCATACACCCAGCCATCAAATTCACCATGGAGGTCGAAAAGGATGGCATGCTACCTTTCTTGGATGTCCTAATCAAAAAGAGACCAGATGGCTCAATGAGCCATTCTGTGTACAGGAAAGTAACTCATACTGACGCCTACCTAAAACCTGATTCCCACCACCATCCATCCCAGAATAATTCCCTCATCAAAACGCTACACCATAGACCTCAATGTATATCCGACCATAAACACATAACCAGTGAACTCCAACACATACACCAAGCTCTCAAGGTGAATGGATATTCTGACTACACAATCCGAAAAGCCATCACCCCAACCGTGAGGAAAGAGCCATCTGAGGATCCAATCAAAACCATCACCTTGCCATACATAGCAGGGGTAACCAAAAAGACTTCCAAAATCATGAACAAACACAAGATCCAGGTCCGATTTAACACAGTACATAACATTTGTGATCTGATCTCATCTGTGAAGGACAAGATTCCTGACATGCAATATCCTAAGCTGTATCTGCAGCAGCAGTTACATTGGGGAAACTAAGCGACATGTCTCGGACCCTGTTCATAAGGGAGATTTGGAACACGGCAGGACCAATACTTCTGCCGTGGCCGATCATTATTTTAATGCGGCTGGCTCACACGAAACTGATTTCTCTAAGACGATGGTACTTTGCAAGCCTACTGGCTATCAACAAAGATTCGTTTATGAAGCCATCATATATATAGACACAGACACAATTTCAACCGAGATGATGGTTATAAACTCATAAATCATTGCAAAGATGTCATCAACCACTTTGGGTCATGACTTGATTTATGTTTTCTTGTCAACCTCCACCGTCAGCAGTGTGGGTGTGTGGAGCAAGGTGCAATGATTGCCTGGAAGCCCTTTTGGTGGAGACCCACTAACTGCTTAGTTGTTTCCTACATTAACATTAGCTGCCCCGCCCATGCTGCTGACACACTTGCGCTACGCCCATCTCTAAATCTTTATAAACAGTTTGCCTTTACAGGCTAACCCCCCTTTTTCCTGATAACAACCGCTTGTGTTGCGATCGAAACGTCGTGTTTTTTATTATTATTATTTTTTTAAATATATTTTATTTTATTCAGCTTAGCACCAGGCTACAGTCTACATTATAGACTGCCAGTACGCTCACCCAGCTTAATAACCAGGCTTCAGTCTACATTATTGACTGCCAGTACATTCACTACGATTTAGAACCAGGCTACAGTCTACATTAGTGGGTTTTTGTTTTTTATTATTTTAATTTTATTTTCATTATTTTTATTAAATTTATTTTATTACGTTTCTATTTACATGACTTTACCTAAAGAACCAAAGAATATGAATTCCTGTAGTCACGAAAGTTTTATGTCAAATTTTTCATTTCAAATTGTTATAACACAATTCACCGTTATTGGCCACATACATACATTGTAACCGCTCAGGTTATACCACCTCAGATGGCACTTACAAGTGAAATATCTCATCTGGGCTCGTCATGGACTGTATAGATATGTTCTGCTTGGCAGCACGACGTCCACGTGATTGTTTAATTACGACGCTGCATTTAGGCCTCGGCATGGTAAGGTAATTTACCCTTTTTACCGGGTAAAAGGGTAAAGGTGTCGACATGCCAAGGGGTAAGGTAAAGGGTAGGGTAAAGGTAGCTCAGAAGAATTATCCAGTAGGGTAAAGGTAGCGCGAAATATTACACGGTAAATACGGTACCTTGTTTACCGCTAGAAGCTCCGTGGCGCAGTCCGTGGCCTCCATTTAATAATTAATATATATTTTTTAAAATTTATTAAAAACACGCTTTTATTAAACGTACTCGTAATGGCAGAACTCCACGACTCCAGAAAGGGGCCCCGAAGCTTGCCACAACGTAAGGGGCCGTGGCCAATTACAGCCAACGTCAGTTGAGCGTGGACAATTAGAGCCAAGCCGAAACATAACATATTAAAAAGATTGTTTAAAAATATGTATTTTTTTAGTGATATAATATGTATTTTTTTAGTGATATAATATATTGTTTACCGCTAGAAGCTCCGTGGCGCAGTCCGTGGCCTCCATTTAATAATTAATATATATTTTTTAAAATTTATTAAAAACACGCTTTTATTAAACGTACTCGTAATGGCAGAACTCCACGACTCCAGAAAGGGGCCCCGAAGCTTGCCACAACGTAAGGGGCCGTGGCCAATTACAGCCAACGTCAGTTGAGCGTGGACAATTAGAGCCAAGCCGAAACATAACATATTAAAAAGATTGTTTAAAAATATGTATTTTTTTAGTGATATAATATGTATTTTTTTAGTGATATAATATATTGTTTACCGCTAGAAGCTCCGTGGCGCAGTCCGTGGCCTCCATTTAATAATTAATATATATTTTTTAAAATTTATTAAAAACACGCTTTTATTAAACGTACTCGTAATGGCAGAACTCCACGACTCCAGAAAGGGGCCCCGAAGCTTGCCACAACGTAAGGGGCCGTGGCCAATTACAGCCAACGTCAGTTGAGCGTGGACAATTAGAGCCAAGCCGAAACATAACATATTAAAAAGATTGTTTAAAAATATGTATTTTTTTAGTGATATAATATAGTATTGTCACCATTATGACATACTTATATCAAGTTTGCAGTCGATACCACATTAGGAAGTGGGTAAAAATTGAGTTACAAGATTTGAGGATATGACAGCGACGACGACAACAACAACAATGACAACGACAACAACAATAACGACAACAACAACAGACAGTGAGTTCAAAAAAAGCGTGTAAAATTGGAATCATCGGGAGTATTCTATATGAATAAAGCGCTCTATCTAGCATTTACCGTTATAAACCTTGTTCATGTGTAGTAGTACCCCAGTAATTACCCTGTAATCGGGTAATTTGTATGGGGTAAGGGTAAAAGGTAGGCTCGTTGCTTTTTACCTTTTACCTTACCTGCTAAAGGGTAAAAGGTAGGGTAGAGTGATTGTATTGTGGTAAGGTAAAAGGTAGGGTAAAGGTACGCTCGTTGTTTTTACCTTTTAACTTTTACCTTACCTTTCCGAGGCCTAGCTGCATTGGCCAGTCATGGTCCAATTATTCTATGGCTGAGACCACAGTTCCTGTAGATACCCGACAATGCAAGTGGTGTGAAAAACTACCGACCCTAATCGGAGGTGGACCACCTCCGATTACCACGGTTGGCTACGTACGGTGCAAAAGAAGTCCAACATACATACATGACAGTAAACACCTAATCCTCACAATAACCTTAACCCTTCATCAACTTAAAGATAAAAAATCAGGAAATGATACTCTTTGTTTTTTTTGGTAAAGTCACGTAGGTAGAAAAAAGACAGCAGTTCTGCTGCTGTGTCTTCTGTAACCCTGATCTCAAATGTTTAATATTTTCCAAAGTGCGATTTAATAGTCCATGTTTCCTTTTACAATGGTACATCATCCACTATCTGTTGCTCTTCTCTTGTTTTATGTTTTGATATCACTGATAACTAAGGCTACTATTTTGGCATCGTAATTTTCGAGTAAAATTCACTCAAAGCTCACGGAAAGGTCATAGAAATAAGTGGGGGCAGTACTCCATCTGAAATGTCCCAAAAAATTGTGTTCATTTTAATTATTTGAAAGATCATACTATATATTAAAACTGCTATATTTTAAGACCTTAAAGTGACCAATTTAGTTTTTTTGGCATTCGGTATGGAAGTGAATAGACTGATTTAACCATAATAAGAATATTGGGGAGTGCTCGAGTTGCATAGCAACAGCGGCGATGCCCCTACAACCCTTCACATGACTGTTAAACCGACAACGTACAGTACTTGTAAAATACAAACATTATTACAGCTCTTTTCAAGATTTCACTTTAGACTCTCCAAGATATTACTCTTAGACTCGATTCTTATTCACGATCGCAGTGACCACCGCGCCCATACGCGCCCAAGTTATGGCTGACCGATAAATCGTTTGCTGTACATGTTTTTTTTTTGTTATTCTCTCTTTGAATTAAACCTTCTTTGTTACAAATCTTGAAGCACCACTGTAATAATTATCCTGTCTTTTTTATGTAATGTATGAGAACAATGGTGGTCTTGGTTGTTTTGACTGTTGTAAAATAACACACACTTAAATGGTAATATATGTCATTTAAAATCCTGTGTGAATTACTGTATGTTTTACTTAACCTGCTGATAATGTTGTAATGCCATCACACTCATTGTATTGTCGAGTAAATAAAAGTCATCTGAATGAATCTTAATAAAGGTTTCGTTTCAGCCGCAGAGTTTCAGCGTTATTATTTTTGTAGAAAGTGGTTGCCTGTGTGATGCCGCCACCACAAAGCCGCTCAACGGGGGCCCCACCCCCGACCTCGCCACCACCAAGTGACGGAGCCGACCCCCGCGTCCCCCCACCTCACCTCACATGAACACACCCGCACGCATTCCCCCCCCCCCCCCATAGAGCTCCGAGGGGAAGTCACCTGGCTGACCGGTTTTAATCCGAGAAGCCCTTATCGGGATAACTTTCACGGTTTCCGGTGACCAGGGAATTGGACGACCTCCCCCGATGCTACTTCGCAGCGCTGCGACCGGCATTAAGATTGCAAGGTCGCGGCGAGGGGCCACTCGGCCACCGCGGTTGAAACGCACCCCACGCACGCACGTATCGACGGGGCAGGCAGAGGGGCATAAGTATAGGACTAATTTGAATACGAGCCGCGCATAAGAATTGT